CGGAATGCCAAAATACACTGCACTAAGCAGAAATCCGATATGCCAGACAATAGATTTTCTAACTTACGTCCTCCTGAAAAGTCTACCGAGTTTCGACACCGAAAAGCCATCCTCTGTTCCTCCATTAGAACACTCCTCTCCTTAACCGATAGCTATTTCTTTGTATTACACAACAAAATAAGCTGATAAATTAACTGCATAAACTGAAACAGAAGCTATAAAAAACACGTCTTTACCTAATCGAGAAGTGACAGACAGAGAGCCTGGTCAAGAACTTGAGCCCAGAAATCTCACTCAAAATGGTCAAAGCCGAAGATTGTCTTGGAACCTTAGTGAGCTCCAGCTCCTTCAAACCCTTCAGCTTGTCCAAGGACAGACCGTTGCCAAAACCCGGAGACGATATCTTCACCTGAAGATACTCTAAATCCACCAAATTACCCAACTCGGACGGAAAGAGATCAATCTCGTTGCCGAAAAACTTCAACTTCCTCAATCTCCCAAGCCCTCCAATTGATTTAGGAATCAAACTGAAAACATTCCTATAAAAGTACAAACCCTTCACGGAATCCTCCGAATTCTCCAGCAGAGGAAACTCTAGCTTTTGACCAGAAACATCAATCACCGACTCATCCTCCGTATTCCTGACGCCACTTCCGATACCATCACCGGTACGGCAATTCTCGCTTCTATCCACGCCGGCTTCCTCGATCAAACATGAAGCTTCTTCGTTCTTCACCGGCTTTTTATCACTCCCAAAAACCTCAGAAGAAACCGCACAGGAATCGGAGACCTGCATTGGATCTCAACACCAACAAGGCGGAAAAAACCCGGGTAAATTCAACTAATTCCACCCCCAGAAGAGACGAATTCGAGGAAAACCGACCACGTAGCCAGAGGGGAAAAACGAGATCTGTAGGGAGAGAGAGAAAATTAAGTTGATTGAAGATGAAGAGAAGAACAGCTGCGAGGGGAGAGATTGAAGGAAGATGGCAGGAGCGACGGAGAAGGAGAGAGAGAGAATGCGCTCCTGCTTCAAACGGGAGAGAGAGAAACCCTAGAACCCCGAGGGACCGTAACGAGGGCACAACGTATCTACCGAATGAATAATTACTCTTCACGCGCTATTCCCCTTTTTTTTCTTTTTCGTGAGTTTTTTCCAACCTAAAGAACGTTCAAGGTATTACCCAAAAACCTTATATCCCCAAATTTATTTCTTTGGATTCCACACGAATTATACTAGTAAAAAAATTTATTGTCACATAATAGTGTATTTAACAACACGATTCAAAAGCATCCATCGACATCAAGACTTGGTACAAAAAGACATTAGATCATTAAAAATGTACAAATCCGCAATGGGTCTGGTTCAGATATGTCCGGACCAGTTGTGAGAGCTGTCTACTCTTGGCATTCCGACTCTGTCTTTCTTAGCCTCGGCGTCCACTTTGAACGTCGCCCCACACAACTCGCCTGAGCTGTCCACCCTTGGCACCGCCTTCAGCTCGTTCCTCGGGTGCTCGAAACTCGTCAATCCCCCCGAAGATGTGAAGTAGCAACCTATACATATACATATATACATACATACATATATATATATATTACACAGACAGACCTGACCCATCAACAAAATACAAAGCACACGTTTTGATCTTCTTAGTAGATAGATATATAACGTTACTTACCTCTGGGGAAGGGAGCATGAGATTTGCCGCAGCCTTTCTTCACGATCTCGGAGTCATTGGAGAGAACAAGATGTCCTTCCCCGTCACTTCCCCAAAAGAATGGCACTCCCCCCTCCGCATCCTGCCCATCACATGTCACCGACAGCAATTTTATAAAAATCAAAACTTTGGAATTGAGATTTGATGTTTCTTGTTCTCCAGTGGTTGCTTTCTGTGTAAGTGTACATAAAGTAGACATTCTCATCCATAGAGTTTTCTTTATATCCACAACCTACTATACACCAAAACATAATCCTAAACAAATCATGCAACTCAACCGAGGCCAGGATCCATATTAGTCACCCTTAACTGCTTATATTCAAACAAGACAAACACGGTGTTTTGTGGGCAGGATGGCAAATCTAGAAAAGAGGGTAAATGAGTTGTTAAAGGGCAAGAACAGTTGTGAAACTCACAGCAGCGAGGAAAACGGTCTTGTTGGAGGCATCGAAGAGAATGAAAGAGAACTTCCCCTGGAAATCTCGGACAACCTTGTCAGCAGGATAAGGGCCACGGTCACGTAGAGATCTGTAGGCTTCAATCACAATGGTTGCCTCGTTTGCTGCTTTCCCCAACCCGTATTGTTGCTTCAGAAACGCAACGTTCTCAACGTGGCCTTGGAAGAGGCAGAAAATGTCGTCCACCACCGCAAATAATCTGTGACATTCCCACAAAAATTCATTTCCATTCCCATAATCTTTTACAAAATAAACAATGTACCAGAGATCTATCCATCAACTCTCATACAAAAAGAAGAGATAAAGGTGTAAATCATTTAATTAACTTTGATATCCTTGTTATAATTTCTGCGGATATTTTCACCGTAAACTTTCCAAACACAGTTGAAATGAGAGTTTACTTTTCAACTTGGAAGGTAATTTACACACGAATAGTCATCACCGTCATAAACCCCATCACCATCACCATCACAAGAAAAAAGACCAAGACTTGGTCAAGAAAAAGAAAAAGAAAAATCGGAATCCTTTACAGATCAAGGAACGAACAATCGGATCAACGAAGCAGTAGTATGTCTCGAAACTCAAAACTAGCAAGATCATCATCATCATCATCAATATCTGTATTAACATATATTCTCCTAAATTTCAAATCAAAATCCCAATAGGGAACAGAAAGCAGCAAGAAGCAACCGAGGCGATATCAAGAAGAGAACAATCAGATCAAGCGAAGAAACAGATCCCCAGATCAAACGCAAAGATACAGTGGATGAGAAACTTGATTGTATACCTCGGAAGAAGCGGATTCTGCTTAGCGAGCGAGTAAGCAAACAGACCAGAGGATCCGAGATTAGCGGTGACGGAATTCGGATGAACTGAGTCAAAGTGACTCGCCAGGAACCCGTCTTTCAACGCGCACATCGACTCAGTCGAGTGCTGAGTCGAGTGCGGGCTCTGCAGTTCCTCGGGGCATTTCGCAACCGTCTTCTTGAACACAGCAAGCATTTTTCTTATCCGAGAGAGAAGGAAAGCGTGTGTTTGGACAGAGAGAAAATCTGCAACGGAAAACGGGAGAAAATAGCGAGAAAGTTATATAGGAATCTAGGAGAGAGAAGCTGTAATTTTGTGTTCCTATTTTACCCTCACTTGGTGGACACGCGTCGCAAGATTAAAGGGGTCTCGCAACTACAGATTTTTTGTTTCGTCTTCCTTCCGTACCCAGACACTACGAATATTATAATTACATATGGCGGATCCAAAAATATTAATATTTATTTCGGCTAATTTATTAACAATTGGAGATTCATCTTGTAATAAAAATATCACGTAACATCAGGAACTGGTTCTTGTTTCTATAATTGAAGTAAAGATGCGAATTTCATTAGGGGGCAGAATCGTCTTTCGAGAGGATAAGATCTTTTATCCAGGCACGAAAATGACGTGGCGAGAACGCGCCACTTGGCATATCTGATGAATAGCAAATAAATAAAAAAATTAATAAACTGAGGAAGAAGGGCACATGTGATGAAGTCAACGAAACGATCGTTGACTCACGCTTTTCGACGGACTCTGTCAAAAACCCGCAAAGCTGAAAAGCTGGTAAGTCTATAGTCTATACGCAGGCAGGGCAGGAGGATAGTAAGTTCGTAACACAAATTCATTATTACACGACAGCATCTGCCATTTGCTAATGAAATCTACATCGGAGATTGATTCCTATTAGGACACCAAAACCAAAAAAAGAAAAGAATGAGACGAATTACGCACTTTTTGTAAGATCTTATTCAATCTTCCTAAACTTATATACACACACGCACATGACAAATACTGCTCGACAATGAAGAAAAAAAAACAGTGTGGAAGAAATATGGAGATAAAGAGATTGAATCGAGCTCACACTATGGATCGAAGACTATTCTCCGCGAGCTCGAGTCTTGTTCCTTCTCATGCCCCTCGGATTCGCCATTGTTGTCGATCTGTTTCTGCGAAAAAAATCAGAGTTTCTATCGATCAAAACCGTGATCGGAACACACGATGTAAAAGCATAAGGGTGCAAAATAATCGTTTCCATGCTTATAGGTAGGTCGATGTCTGCTTACTAGAACGTGTTAATTCCTTTCTGAGAACATCTCATCTATGGAAATCATGAGCTCTCTCTCTACAAATGCAAATAGGGGCTTAAGGGACCAATGATTTATCTGATGTTGATGCCACCAGATGCAATATTCACCAGACCGTTTTGAATAGGCATGATTATAAGCAGGCCAGATTATAAAAAAATCTTATTGTACACTTCAAATATTATCTATAATCCACAGACAGAAACTCAGTGTAATTATTAATATTTGGGTGAGAAAAAAACTTACTTCAGCTTGATGTTCAACTGGGAATAAGCTAATGGTGCCAGGGTTGAAACTGAATCCGCTGCAGCAAGAGGAACGAAATGAGGTGAAGGAGGAAAAGAGCATGGCATTGTTAGTCAACATACGCAATATAGTGTTACGACGAAAAAGAAAAGAAAGGGATGTCGTGTAAAATCGTTACCATCGGGAAAAAGCTAGCCGCCAAACGTACGGGATGAAGAATTCCTCAGGATGGCTCTCTTGTTCATATGAGAAGTGTAGTTGAGTAAACATCTGTTGTCATCGTGTTAAAAGAGAGACACATATTAAGAGCCTGAAGAACTTTAGTGAAAGAAAAAATGATTAGACTATTTCTCAGTAATTATATGGGCCTACCTTCATGCCTTCGCCTCGCCAAGAACGACAATTGTTAATGATGAATTGAAGAACTTTCTGCACTGACCATTCCCTGTCGGATGATTCCAATCTTTGGGCATCCATGCGGCTGTTGAAGAAGTCTAAGACCTAGAAAGGAAACTAGATTATGATCGGTTGGTTTAAGTCATTGAGTGGAGAAAAAACAACGTAGCGAATGGATCTGATTAGCGTTTTCCATATTGAGAAGCTCTGTTCTTTCTGAAAGGCAGAAAGATTAAATGATTAGGTTTGTGGAATTGTGACAGAGCGTACTGTGTATATATTTTCAACCAGCTCATGGAAATGGGGATGATTCTTGAATGGCTGGAACACTTCTTGCCGATGCATGACTGCATAGACAACCTGGAGAAACCAAATCTAGCCTTAGTAGAGCAGGAAACCAAAATAACCAAATTAAAAAGAAAATGATGCGAAGAACATGATAAGTGATACCTCAGGATTTCTCGGTAGGGCATATGTCAAAATTGCATTCAACGTTTCTAGAACAATTCTCAAGAAATCAGTGTAGATCTGCAATTCTGCTGCCTGAAATCCATAAAATACAAGACTTTAGACGATGCACAAATAAAGAGCCAACGGTGTTCCTATGTTATTCTGACTGAATGTACAACTATGTCCTACCAAATCCTCGGAAACCCCATCCTGTCCAGCTGAGCTCCCTCTGTTGCTCTGCAGCTTATCATCAATCAAATCTGATAATTTATTATACCTGAATCCAAAATTAATGTTCAAAATAAAATCACAATAGGGAACACACGCCAGATAAAAAAAAGGCAGGAATATTCAAGTCACTTAAAAACGATGCATACTTCCGAGAAAGCATGTAGAAAAGGCTGACCAGCCTCTGTGAGGCGTATGCACTTAAGTGATGGGCATGTGGTGCCATGTTAGCCAGAGTCGCGAGGCAAGTAGTATGCAGATACACATCCTGTTGCAGCCCAATAAACAAAGTGTTATGTTTTCATTTTAGTATATAAACTCAAGTCCTATTCTCCCAGAGGGATCCCTTAATAGTTGTCCACAACCACCAAAGCAATGAAGAGCATATCAGGAACAAAACTGCTTCAACAAAGATATGAATCTAAAGCCATACCCGCAGCTTAGATAGGTTGTACTGCACTGTTCTTATGAGAATGATAACCATTAAGGAACCCAGAGATATCTGATGGAGGAGATGCTCCTTGTACCAGGGAATGCTCGGCAGAATCTATCCAAATTGGCAACATAGTAAGAAAGATTGCAATTGAGTGAAACATTTTGAACTCTAAAATTGGAAACAAAATACTTACGATCTTGTGGATGCTTGCATTGAAAGATGAATCCTGACTAAGCATCAGAAGTACTATCAGCATCATGTATATTTGATTCGCTGATGTTCTCCTTGAAGTATTATACAATGCTTCCAAAATGGGCATCAACTATCCATCAAAAGGAGAAAAAGAAGTCATGAATCATCAACAAGGCAACACATGGGGTTTATCTCAACTAGAGTCAAAACAAATTGAGGGACATAAGATGATAAGGGCACAACAGTGATATCAACACATGAAATATAGAGCGGCAATTCATACCACTGTATCCATATCAGTCCGCACCAGAACATACTCCAAAAAGTCAGAGTTCCCTTGCAGAATTGAGTAGAGGAGCAAGACAGCGCTCTCATCAGCCAAACACCTGCATGGCCTGACTCCTTTATGGAATTTCTAGTAGGGATCTCATTGAACTATTGATGAAACCAAACTTACGTGCCAAGAGTGTCATATAGAGAAGCAAATGGTATTCGCACAAGTGGGCCCGTGTGAGCATTTCCCTCAACATCTGTGCGGTCAACTGCAAAAAGGGAAATAGTTTAGATGCCAGAATAACTTTGGTACCCTTGAGGGGAAAAAAAGAAAAAGTAAATTAACAAACAACAGATCATCTCACATTCAATGTCTCTAGCATTTGCTAGAGCCTTGCTATAGGGATTGTCCGAGAAGAAGGCATGCGCTTTTGAAACTGAGTCTGAATTTGCACTGTCATCGCTTTTATCTGTTGTAGACTCATCCGTCGTTATACACTTGTGATAGTTAATGAGGATTAGCAAAACATGAAGGCCACCCTCTACAAGTGGGTTTTTTGATCCCTCGCCACTAGAATTGACAAGATAATTCAAAGGCAATAACACAAACGTCGCTGCATACACAATAGAAAAGGGCTTGATTAGTACGGTAAGGAAACACATTGTAACCCCAAAGTAAAAACCAAAGGCACAAAGGTCAACATGCACACGAAAGCATAATAATATTACGCATAAAAAAATGAAACACCGTACCAGCTGCAGAACCAACTCTTTCCAAAACACCCGGAGGATCTCCATCTGAATATAAATTGGATTTTGCATTTGGAGGAATACGAGGTCGGAGGATATAATTCAGTAGCAGTCTCTTGACCACCAGACAAACCAGAGACTTTTCCTGCATATTATACAACCAAACTAAGGCCATGGAAACTGATAGGTAAAACAATGATAACCACGGAAAAAAGGAGGGAAATGACAATTTTGACTTGTACCTGAGCCATTGCAGCATCAATAAAAGGGTTCACATCTCTTGGTCCAGGCAAAGGCCCAGAAAGAAGCTGTGTTGACATTGCTACAAGCATGAAGTTCAACAGTTCCTGATGTAGAAGATAGGAGTTGGGACTTGCCAAATAAATGATGAAAATCAGGAGAATGAAATATCTAAAAACTAGATAAAAAGGAAAAAGATATATAATATTCATGTCATACCTAACATCTGTTGATCCTATGAAGCTCAACACGCCGTGCATGACAAAGTTCTCAATGTTCTGATCTGCACTTAAACACTAAGTAAGCCAATAGAAGCCTGACGAAATTATGCTCAGAACCTAAACTCCAATTGTTAGAAGTTGATAAAATATACTTGGCTAAGTCATACCCATCACAAAACCCTGTGGAACTGGTTCACTTTCATCCAGAGAAAGATGCAACTCCTCTAGGCTTTCGCTTTTGCAGCTCTCAATCAAATGCTTCAAGAAAACCGACGAAATGTACGTAGCATTAACAGCTTTCTTATAAACAGATGACTGCACACCAGAAGGCGTGAGAAGCTCGTGCAAACACCATGACAGATGGATCAATAATTTTGCCAGATGCCTAGTATAGCCATTGTTTTGTGCTGCAGAAAGCCGGAAAGAAAAAGATTTGGAAAAGATTATCAGACTCAAACTATATCCCTATCATTCATATAATTCAATCGGTTGCTATGAGACATCAACATCTTCTCTCACTCAACTACAATTACTCGTACACCCAACCTACTGAAACCGACAGCTAATTCCTTGCCAATCCTAACCATATCCATTGATCTAAAATCTAATCTCGCACTAATATGCTTCAACGACCAGTCATCAAGAAATGGTACAAGAAAATCGGAACCAAAGTATCAAACCGACAGCGTAAATTTGTTGACTACAGACAATAATATTCATCGAATGTACACCCAAATCCACATAAATTTGCAACAAATTGGACACAGGAACACGAAAATAAAACACATTGTACACAAAAATCACTGACCGAAAAGCTCACAGGCTTGATGAACGCGATCACTGGGCCACCGGGAACTCAACGGTAACTCGAGGAGCTTGTTCCAGAAATCAGACGCCAGCGGAAACGATTTCTCACCGACGAAAGTAGCAATGAGATACTCCGTCGGAGCATCTCCGCCGTCGTTCCGCGGCGTCGAAGGCGCGCCTCCCATGTCGAGGATCTCGCAGTCGGCTTCTCCGGTGTCCTCACCGAGTCAACTAGGATCCACGAGCGAGACAAGCGATCTCGTACTGCAACTCGGTCCTGATAAGGATCAACAGCATTACGAACCGCGAAAGGAGAAATGCAGAGCCCTTGTTGTTCCTCCTGGATCTAAATCTGAGATAACACAAATTGAAAATTCAAAGTGAAAACGAAATGCTTAGAAACGAAGGGTTTAGAGAGAGAAAGAGAGATGACGCGTTTTTTTTTCCTTTTTGATAATGTTTATATTTAGTTTTGAACCTTTTTTTTTTCTGTTTTTACGTAATTTATTAAACCCGAAAATACGACAAAATAATATCCCATAAACTATATTATATATATTTCCTACTTCGTAAATTAGAGAAAACTACATGCTTATTCCTACGTGCTACCAAATCAACGCGCACCAAACATTATTGATTGCTTTTGTTTGTGTTAGTAACAAAAAATGTGTACATAAATATAAATATATGAACAGTATCCATAGATATACACATTTATGTGGATATATAAAAAAATATGATATATAGAGCAAAATATATAAAATATAATTTAATTACGTAATAATACTGAAAAATGCTATATATACCATTTTCAGAGTAATTCAGTACCAGTTTTGTTTATCTACTGTTATCTTTCTTTTAATGGAATCTATATTTTTTCAAGTGTATTTTTTAAGAAGAAAAGCTTTATATGATATTATTACACACACAGAAACAGAATGGCATTTACAGTAAAATTAATTAATTAATATGATATTAATTACTTCGTGGAGAAACAAAAGATAATGGGTTTGGGAGTTATTAACCACTGATGAGTTGTTGATTCCTGCCTACCGTACCGCCTTCATCCCGTCGGTGACTTCAGCTCATTAATTGTATGTTCATAAGCCCAAACCCAGGCCCAATATCAAACTTAATGTATATTTGGGCTTTTAGTTCGGCCCAAATTTATTCATCCATTCTTCTCATGATGCAAAATGAATAAAAACACACAAAAAAAACTGAAACAGTAAATTTATAGACTCTTACGAGAATCTATGTGGCCGGTTAACTATTGTTAAATCCGGTTTAATCGATTTGGTTTATCATTGGACCGGTTTGTTATTCTATTTGAATTTCTTCTTTGTTTTCTTATAACCGGCAAACATGATTTTGAATATCAGAAAATTATCCTAAACCAAACTGTACACCTCTTCTTTCTGGATCTCATCACTCAACAACAAATCGTCCCAAAGCCCATCTATATGATCCATCTCCATTCCAAGTTCCTGCCTTTGATCTTCCATCATTGCATCTCCCTCGAACTGGCTGCACAATCCAAACTCGGCAATGTCGCCATACTCCTCAGGCTCAACCTTAACGAACGTGGCTATGGCATCGCCTTCTTCATCGGCTACATTGTTCAGCTCTTTTCCCATGAAGTTCAACAGTTCCTGATGTAGAAGATAGGAGTTGGGACTTGCCAAATAAATGATGAAAATCAGGAGAATGAAATATCTAAAAACTAGATAAAAAGGAAAAAGATATATAATATTCATGTCATACCTAACATCTGTTGATCCTATGAAGCTCAACACGCCGTGCATGACAAAGTTCTCAATGTTCTGATCTGCACTTAAACACTAAGTAAGCCAATAGAAGCCTGACGAAATTATGCTCAGAACCTAAACTCCAATTGTTAGAAGTTGATAAAATATACTTGGCTAAGTCATACCCATCACAAAACCCTGTGGAACTGGTTCACTTTCATCCAGAGAAAGATGCAACTCCTCTAGGCTTTCGCTTTTGCAGCTCTCAATCAAATGCTTCAAGAAAACCGACGAAATGTACGTAGCATTAACAGCTTTCTTATAAACAGATGACTGCACATCTTTCCCTTGCCCTTGATCTATACGCCGTCTTCTCTTCTTGTCGATCTCTCCCTCGCGAATCATAAGGTTTTGTAGGAAACCAGGGCTCTTCATCGCTCTCGCCAGGAAGTTTATCATCCTCTGTTGTTTCATCTCTGTCTTTTTAAGCTTCTCTTCCATCAACTCAACACTGGTTTTGATGTTCTGTTGCTGTTGTCTCAGTTTCACCAGTTCCACGAACAGAACCCTTTTGTCTCTCCTCAGACGATCGATTTCTCCGTCGAGACCGAATCTTCCGACTTCGATATTGTTGTTCGAATCCAGAGATTGGAATTGGGTGTGAGGTTGAGACGATGCCTTTCTTCTCCTGATGTTTTTGAGGAGGTGCCTTTGTCCTCTTAGAAACCCTTCATTTGCAAACTCCCATCTGTCTGGATCAACCTTCCTAAATCCCTGCACCAACAAGCGAACCCATCGTCCGAAACTCGTAAAGTTTTAAACTTTATGGAAGAATCTGAAGAACCCAACAGAAATCATCGGACTTTGAGTCCGAACAAACAGATGTATACACTAAATTCACACACATGGACCGAAGAAGAAGGATGGCTCACATAGGTATTGAGTTGTCGAACAAAGCTAGAGAAATTGCTGTGCTTGAAGTATCGGGGAAGAAGAGTTAAGGCAAAAGTCTCGGGATCCCAGACGATGAAGCTGTTGTTGCCTCTGCTCCATGACACGATCTGGTCCGTGCTCGAATCTTCGACTATGTTGTAAGTCTTTGTCAGGAAAGGTGGTGGTCCTGTTTCATGGATACCCTCCATTGGAGCCGGAAGGTTATCTCCCATTGAAGCCTATCAAGAAGAAAACTCAAGTAAAATATGAGGAATCTGATAATTTTTGACAAATGTGCAAACCTGGGTTTTCACAGTAAAAAAAGAAGAAGAAAAGAACAAAAGCTGAAGATCATGGACAAACGAAATTACAGATGGATTCTTTCAAAGTTTCCAAATGTGGAAACTTTAGGGATCAAAGTTCACATGAAGAACAACACCATAGAGAGAGAGAGATGAGACGTGAGAGAAGATTAGTTTATAATAATTTATAAATAGCAACATGCTTTCTTTCCTCTTTTTCTTTTTTTAAATAACTTTTTTGAGTTTGTTTAATTAATTTAATTTGATTTACTATGGTTTTGGCCAATGAGAAAAAGGCTAATTCCTATATCGGGAAATGAGGTAATTTTTGGCATGTTTTTTATTGGAAGGATTGTATGTATTTTTTGTTTATGATTATCCTTTTTTACTAGAAAAATCAAAATATTATTTTATCTTCAAAAACAGGGTTTGAAAATTCCCTCTTCTATCGCCTCTCTGAATAAATCAATTTTCTACAAATATGGATGAGTACAAAAAATAATCATTTTGAGCCTATTTATTTTTTTTGCCGCTTTAAACTTGTCATATAAAAAAAAAGTAGAAAAGATTTAAATATAGCCATCTTATGAAATAAACGAATGGAGTACTGATCGGATCTCTAAAAAAATCATTTGAATAATAAATCTAATATTTATTTTAACACAAGATTGGTATACCTGCTCATTTATCAAGACAAAGAGGAGCTTATAACATGCCTTAAACGCCCAATCATATTAAATACGAGAAATCGTTTTTCTTTGCGACAAATATATTATCCAAATCTTTTATTTCGGCCTTTTCCTTTTGAGTCTCTTTTCTCCATTTTCGCTCTGTCAGAACAATAGCCATCAACGTGGACATTTTTTTTTTAATCAAATAACTAAATAATAATATTATTTTAACTCACATTTCATGCAATAATAATAATATGTTATTGGACCTAAATTCAAATACAATGTAATAACAGTTTGGTTTTAATTACTCAAATTTAAATCTTATTTTCTTCCAAAAAAATTCTTAATGTCCATATTCTGCCGACGCGTGGCATGACACTGTCACGAAATGTTTCGCCAGACAAAGAAGCGATGTCGATGGATATTAATATTATTATTTTTATTGAAACTCCACACCGAGTCGACACATGTAGGTGTACCATCGCGATACGTTCCCTAACTTTTGGTGCCGATTGTTATATTCTAAACTATTAATTTAATATATTACTATTGTTTTCGCTCGAAATAACAACCGTCAGTGTTGGAGAAACAAAAATAATTATTATAATGATAATAATAATGATAGGTGTCGGTGGGCCCATGGACGGATGAAGGATCTATGTAGAAGAAGAAGCCCATAAGCATCTGCCCATTATGCCCTCGGTCGACACCGTGAAAGGTTTTCGTGGAGTCACGCCAAGAATTTAATTTATATCCCCAAAAAATTTAAAAAAATATATTTTTTTTGTTTTAACAATTTTATAATTACTATTTGTAGCATACAGCTTCGTAATCAATTTTGACTATCATTTACGCAATTTTTACATTGTTTTAGGGTAAATTTGTTAAGAGCTTTCCAATTATTGAAGGAAAGTAAATTTTGACTAATCTACTTTGATGCAAATTACCGATTTACCCTAATTATCTCAGTAATGTAAATCACCCCCTCTATATGCTAATCTTAGCACCTTCCATTCTAAATGAGGAAAAAAAATGTACCAAACCATAGATAGACAAAAATTACCAAACAAAACCGGTTTCAAAACTATTCCAAAAATTCGGATATTTAAATTATTCGGATCACATCCACAGATAATATATGACATGACCAAGACCGTATGGTATGGCTGCAGTATTTTCCTCATGTTATCCATATCGCATCCATTGCATAATTGTTGGAGTTCAACTAAAAGACAACACACAGTAGAACCAAGAGGTCTAGTGAGTTTCGATAGGTGTTCCAAACTTGTTGGTGAAGCTCTTCTTGTACTCCTTCCTTGCTGGGTGTTCTTCCTGAGGCCGGTTATATGCTGTCCAGACCGGCTCTCCTATGAACAGCCTCATCAGCTGCAAACCCATCCAACCGTCAATTCCTTAACCAAATCAAACCAGAAATAACCGAACTAAACCGAACAAATTAAACTACAACCCGCGATCCAATATTCTGATATAATAACACCCTTCTATCTGGGAATGAGTTTTACCTTGACGTAGTTGGTAGTGTCGAGTGTGAACCGGTGGTAGATTCCCGCTGGTAGAACGATGAGGTCACCCGGTTTGATCCAGATTCGGATCCATCGGTCATCCTTGTCTCGGACATCAAAGTATCCGCTCCCTGCCAGACAGTAACGGATCTCTTCATCCGCGTGTATGTGCTCCGTGTAGAAGTTCTTTAGCTTCTCTTCGTAGTTTGAGACTTTCTCTGGGAACAAGTCCAGCAAGTCCTGCATTAAACCGAAGAAATAAATCTTGTGTTATGATCTCAAGCTAACCAGGAAAAGATTGAATAGTAGGTTATATAGTAAACTGATGGGATGAGTTTTATACACGAATTTGCACACATTGGTATGAACATAGCATGAGCTGTTTCCATCTAAATTTGCACAAAAGATGATTGTTTTCAATTGTCTTCTTAGTCGCCTTCCCTATTGTCTCATCAGTTCCAACAACAACAATTCCCCAAAACAGACAAGCAGACAAGGGGCAATTCTTTTATATTGTACTCTTCGCCATCTTCCCCCTCCACTCACTCACCCATCCTAGCTACGACAGCTACTTCAAAGCAAACCCATGATTAAACGTCTACGAATTCTAGTTGATACGACAGCATAAAGGATCAAGGATTGTAATTTCTGACCATAACCTACAAGAGGCATGAGAATGAAGTAATCCACGCACCATGTAATTGTATCCCCTGTTTTCCCTAAGCTTCTGCAGTTCGGTATCATTCTCGTAGTTCTCAGGGTTCAACTTCCAGTACATCACTCCCAACTCTGCGGAATACAGCCTACCCATTACTTCATATCATCAAAAGAAATTGCAGAAACACAGATAAACAATAGAACTGATCACAACTTTCAGAAAGCATTGCTCAGAAGAACACATCAAAATTTCTCCTAAACCGGACCAGAGGGTACAATATCAAATATGTATGAAATATATAGATGATCACACATGGAAGCACGCCAAATTACAGCACCGTTCAAGAAAATTCAAGCAAGATATTAAAGGGGACCTGCCAAATGATCCAAAGGAACGAACTCTTTCGGGTTGCGGTGATGAGGAAGCCTCTGGTCCTCATTGCTATCATCCATGAACCATGCCTGCTTCAAGATTCGACATTACAAAAAATCATCACTATACCTCATTCAACCCCAAAAGCACAAACAAAATTCAAATCCATGAAACCCAAACATACGATTGAGAATTTAGCTTCAAATAAAGCACCACGATCTTTTCAATTCGGAGAAATCGAATATACCAAACATGACAAAAAAAAACCTAAATTGATCCCGAACAAAATCAAAGGCCAAACCCAGAATCAAGCTGACAAGTCCGATAAACCAACAAATAGTAGAAGATTTAGCAGAAATGTTCAAATTCAACCCAGAATCAGAAGGAACTTAGCTCCGTGTAAAGAAGAAAAGAAACTCACCTCGAGAGCCATTGCTGATACCGTGTTGCGACTTACTTCATCTGAAGGATTCAAGTTCAATATATAGCAGTTCGTCTCTCCCATCGATGAACGCCACGTGTACGGTTCGATATCTCGGCTGATTTGTTTTTGTTACTTTCCCTGGATTTTTTTTAAAAATATTTGTGGTTCTGTTTATTTAAACAAACCTTGTATTTGTGAAAGAATTTTTAAACCACAATATAAAAAGAGGGATAAAAGAGCCACAATACAAATTTATGTGAACAAGAAAAAACAGTAAATATATTTTATCTGAATATCTATGAAGTAAAGCCAAGTTTTTTTTTGTTAGGTTTAAGATATTTTATTTTTCTTTGTTTATTGATATGGGTTAGAAATTTCTATAAGATTTTTTAAATCCTAATTTTGTTATCATTATTGATATATATACACACACACACAGTCACACATCTCAGATGATATGAGTGAATTTTTAATTTTAATTTTGGAAAGATTAAAATTTACCAAATAACCCTCCGGTATCCATGGCACTAGTTGGGCTTCAAAGCCCAATTTCTTAGGCCCAATAGATCAGCCCAATTACAATGCGAAACCAAATCAGCCCCAAACTTACAAAATAAGGAAGATATATATAATTATATTTTCTCCCACAAAGATCTATTCTTGTTCAGAAAGGTCCACATTTCATGTATTACACTATTACACAATCACCCCATAAAAAGTGAAAATATCCGTTTTACCCCTCCTCTTCCCCCCAATTTTCCTTTCTGATTCACACAAAATCCACCGCCCTTTTTGCTCTCAACGTCCGCACCTTCTATCTGAAACAGAGGATATGAGCATGGAAACACCTTTTGTCCAAAGATCATATTCCCTTTGGCTTCGGCACTCGAACTCAATCACTCCTCTCTCCATTGTCTTTAGCCCGAAATACCTCAGATTCTCCCCGCCCCCCATCAACTCTCTGCCAGGCCATGCCGGAATATTCCTCACCACATCCACTACCACATCTGTGTATATGTACAACACTAGCCGAGTTATAGAAACTACTAAGAGCGATAACATCTAACAGAATTAACCGCCACTCGGGATATAATCATCGATGAAACATATGGACTCATCATATGAGTTCGTGACTTAGACTGCAAATTTAGACAAGGGTTCGGCAAAAGTTTGGATCTTTATTCAACTTTTTGTGCATAATTTTATCACAAAGTTTGTACCTTTTGACATTTGATTACTTGGGTTCACATTAACAAAGAGTAAGAGGGAAGCAACGTATCTATCACTCACTCTTTTTCTTCTTCGTGATGGTCCCGGCGACATGTTTGCTCTTCATCTTCAACATTACCTGCGCAGAAAAATACTATATATAAACATTAGAATACCAAACATTAAATTCCACTTTTATAACATTTATCTCATAACTTAAAAGAAACAAACTATTTCTTTGACCTGGTTTGTTCTGTTCACATATACCGAAACTATTTTCCAATGAAGATCGCCTGCAAATCATTTGAAAAAAAACCCATAACTCCAATACGACTGGAAATATATCGAATTCTCGACATAAAATCGAATCCATTTTCACAGAAATGAACCTTTGCGGGTGCGCTTGAGCAGTCCACAGCCTTTGGCGAGCAAATCTCTGTTGCACATGCCAAAGAGAGTATCATCAGGAATGAACTCGGCGCCATAACCAACGCACGAACCTCCCACTGCCGTTCCTTTATCCACTGGAATTACGGCCGCAATGTTCCATACATCCTTCAACGCCCTCGCCTTCAGTGTAGCTGCTCCCCTCAATGCTGCTTTTACAAAGAAAGCGTTACCTAGGGAAATTTTGGTATTAAAGGTATATAATTGCGATTCATGAAATTTGGGGTTTATTAGTAAATGTTTCTAATTCACGGACTTGATAATAAATTGATATAAATTTGAGACTTTGGGGGTATATGAGAGGACGTCGTATTGGTGTGGAGAGTACCTGTGGCCGCCGCGGCGGTCAACGTCATGATATCTCCGGCGGAGCGGACATTCACGGCGGAGCCAACGACGGCGGCCAACTGCTCCCTGTCGGCCCCAAGCGCCTCCGCCGCCTCCACGCACTGCGCCGCCACCAGCGTCGCGGCGGAGGCCACCGCCATGTCCCCTGCTTCAAGATTCGACATTACAAAAAATCATCACTATACCTCATTCAACCCCAAAAGCACAAACAAAATTCAAATCCATGAAACCCAAACATACGATTGAGAATTTAGCTTCAAATAAAGCACCACGATCTTTTCAATTCGGAGAAATCGAATATACCAAACATGACAAAAAAAAACCTAAATTGATCCCGAACAAAATCAAAGGCCAAACCCAGAATCAAGCTGACAAGTCCGATAAACCAACAAATAGTAGAAGATTTAGCAGAAATGTTCAAATTCAACCCAGAATCAGAAGGAACTTAGCTCCGTGTAAAGAAGAAAAGAAACTCACCTCGAGAGCCATTGCTGATACCGTGTTGCGACTTACTTCATCTGAAGGATTCAAGTTCAATATATAGCAGTTCGTCTCTCCCATCGATGAACGCCACGTGTACGGTTCGATATCTCGGCTGATTTGTTTTTGTTACTTTCCCTGGATTTTTTTTAAAAATATTTGTGGTTCTGTTTATTTAAACAAACCTTGTATTTGTGAAAGAATTTTTAAACCACAATATAAAAAGAGGGATAAAAGAGCCACAATACAAATTTATGTGAACAAGAAAAAACAGTAAATATATTTTATCTGAATATCTATGAAGTAAAGCCAAGTTTTTTTTTGTTAGGTTTAAGATATTTTATTTTTCTTTGTTTATTGATATGGGTTAGAAATTTCTATAAGATTTTTTAAATCCTAATGGGGGGAGCCCCCCGCCATGTCCGTCCTGGCCATTTCTCCGTCCTTTCCGGAACTCAACTGAGCTGCGGCCGCGGCGACGATCGCCGCTACGGCCGCCGCAACTCCGGCGACGGACACGGCGGCGTGGAGCTGGGCGTTATGGGCCCGCGCCTCCTCCCTTTTCTTCTCCCTCCGATCCTTCAGCCACCGTCCGACGGTCTTGGAGCCACTGCTGCCGGAGGCGGCGGCGGAGGGTGAGTGATGTAAATGGGCGTTGACGGATGGGTTAATGCGGTAGAAGTGCTGCATGGAAATCCCAGCGTACGTTTAGAAAGAAAAAAAAAAGAAGCACTAATCCAATCTTAAAATTAATGATTTTCAAAATAAAAACGAGAATTTCTTAATATGCTAAAGTAGTTTTTTTTCCCTCGAATATTTTTATAAAATATTTCGGGTAAAAAACAAAAAAATAATACGTTTTCTTACTGGATATCATTTCAACTTCCATCGTGTCATTAAAAAAAATGAAAATATATGAAATACCGAAAGTGGTGAGAAGTGTTTAAATTACTTTTTTACCTGAAGACGCAAATCCGACAACAAAGGAATGCTTTGGTCGAAGAGAAAGCCTGAGTTTAGTGTTCGCTATGTTTCTCCATGCCTAGCCTTTTTGTTATGTCAACGAGTTCAAAATTATTTGCATGATAGACCCACAACTTCAACTGATCTAACTATTTCAGCCCACAAACTCTTAATTTTATCCAATAACCCCCAAAGCCAAATGCCCATGAAAATGAAAGCGCTTTTTCAGCATCGTTTCCTAAAGATTTTTTCCTTGTGAATGAAGCAAGCAAGTGACAAGAACGGAGATGGTTCGGTTCGGTTTTGTATCCAGTTTAGCATTTATTTGGTTTAAAAACCGGTTAAGAGCTTCCGGTGTGAGAAGATAACAGACCTTGAAATCGGAGGGAGAGACCGGAGGGCTGTCTGAAAACGAATTGCAACTATGTGAAAGCCTCCCTGAAGTCCTCGGCGATGCAATCTCCGGCTGTCAATCAAAATATGAATACAAGAAATGGATTGTAAAGAAACAAGAAAATCTCAGAGAAAATTTCTTGAAGTATTTATGAGTAAAAAAGGATACTCACTGACTGAGACATGATACGTTCCATGACCACCTGAGAAGTCTCCGATGAAGCGAACGAGAAGGGGTTCCCAGAAACGACGCCGCTCTCTTCCCCACGCACCATCGTGACGTCATCCTCCGGCGCCGGCGTGACGTCATCCTCGCCACGGATATCGGCGACGCGCATCTGCGGCGACGCGACGGCTCTAGAGACTTCCAGAGCGGCGGCGCTCCACGTCCTCGATAGGAACTCCATGGGCTCCACTGGCGTCTCCGGTGGTCGGAAAAGCGCCTCCGGTTTCCACAATTCTCCGACGGTTTTGTCCATTGAGAGAGAGAGAGAGAGAGTGGGGGAGGTTATGTGAAGCTTTCGAGTATTTAAGGAGGGGGATGGGCGGATCGGCGGTTGAGGTACAGTTTTGGGTGCTTTAATCGTACGGTCCGTAGTATCTTCCACGTGGCATTATGTCATTGGTGATCACTAATTTCGATTTCACTAGCGTTCGTCTGGCGATTCTCGCGGTTTGCACGTAAAAAAAAATATACTAATTACGATTAAAGCCTTATATAATTGCTATTTCTTATGTTAGAATTAAAAAAAATAGTTATAATTAAGAATGGGAAGAGTTTTAATAATCAGAAAAGCATATATACATATATATATATATATAACCCAAATTTATTACATGATATTGATCATGCAAACAAGGTCAAATCATTTGTAGAAATGATGAATCGATCAGCATTATGCGATGTCTTTTTATTTTTGTCTTAAATGTTTTATTCTAATTTTTATAAACTGGACCAACCAACTTAAGAATGCTTTATTCTGGCCGGTTTTCAATTAGTTATGCCTGGCTTGCTTGGTTTTGGTTGGTGGGTCATGTTATTGATTTGTCAATATTATCGGTTATAAACATTAATTTGGTTTGTTATGTTTATTAATTATGTCTGTATGTTATGAATTTCCACAATCTATTTAAAGAATTGGAATTTTTCATATACAACAAAAAATATCATTTACTTACTTTTTTCCCCTTTAATTACAGAATGACACAACTATCTTCAAATCTTCACATTTTTTGAACTTATTCTGTTTTTCACTCCAAATTAAATGAAGAATCTGCAAATGATACCCTCATATTCAGAATCAATATACGTAATATAATTATTGCAAATTCTATCACTGTATTATCCATCGCTAATTCGCTTAGATGTGAAAACGAAAACATACTTTTAATGAATTGGAATATAAATGTCATGGATTTTTTTTTTGTTCGATTTTGTTCCCACTACTTTTTTTTTTTGTGTTGGGGGTTGGGTGAGTGAAGTGGGAGATCAATAATGTGCACGTGTAGGCGTGACTGGCTAACGTCATCATATGAAAACACAATCCAATGTTTATATATATACACACATACATATATATATATATATATGTGTGTGTGTGGGTCCATTCCAACAGTGTTTCTGTCTTCACACCACAACACAGCTTTCAGCCTTTTGTCCCTTTCACCTTTTGTTTTTTTTTTAAAACCCGTTCTTATTATTACTTTACTTCACAACAGAAATCTCACTTTATTTATCCAATGTATTCATATTCTGTAGTAATAATAAAAAAATATATATCGAGTTCGAAAATATAACTTCGGACATAAATACTAATAACGGGCCAATTTACATATCATTTGGGTTTCCATAAGTTTTTTTTATTTATAAAAAATGTGATTATTTAGCCCTTGGCCGAATATTGTCTAATTTTTTCTATTTTGTGCATTCTCTTCTGCATGGATTCCGACCAACTTCATTGTGAAATGCTCTTTCGCACCCCGAAGAATCTTATCATTGTTTTGATGTTTGAATAAATATAGGACAAAAAACATATAATTTGTTTTTAATCCAATACTACGAAAATAATGATCAAATATATTTATAAAATTAAATGTTTTGCAGCCGAAGGTTTATTCTATAATCCATCCATAAAGAATAAGATAATGCAACATAAACATATACCAGAATCTATTTACTTAATTAAATTAACATTTCACTTGTAAATTTTAATAAGTTTTTTTTTTCAATGAATAAGGCCTTTCTTTCTTTATTTTTTCCCCCTCTATAGCAATGTAAAATTAAACAATCAAATACATAAACACTTATGGTTAAACATATTATGAGTATTTTCGGGAACAAAACAAAATTAATTAAAATTTTTAGTTTCAATTCTTGCTCATATAATCTCAAGGGGTTTCCTTTTTTTTTTTTTTTTTAATAACCCAAAAAAAAAACAGCATTGTGGAAGGAGACGCTCGAATCGAAACTATGATGAGTTGTTGGGTGTCTCCTTGAAAATGCGAGGAAGAATCTCATGTGCACTCATCTCCAGCGTTTGAGGCTCCCTGAAACCAATCCATTCCGCATTGAAAACGTATATCTCCCAAGTTTTAGGCACGAAAAGTTTGCATCTTTACACATGAATACGTGTATATATACATATATATATATATATCAATGTATGTATGTATGTATGTATACATACCTGCACAAAGTTTGGCCCTTTTCCTTGGAGCTTGGGATGAACCAGAGTTTTCGAACAGAGGGAGACTCGAACTGAACGAAGAATCCATCATTCTGTCCGAGTTTCCATTTCCTTGAACCTTGGCCCTTCCACACCTGTTGTCACACACTCCACAAGAAAGACAACTTACACGAAAAATGGATTTTTTTTCTTTTTATAAGAAAACCCGAATCATTGGCAAAGAGAAAGAAGAAGAGAACACCTTCCTTTACCTGTGGGTAGGATATGATACTCTTTGGTGTTATCAAGCAAGCAGCTTTAGAGAATGACTCCTCTGCATATTGCCTGAGGAATGTAAAACAGCTGCTGTGTGTTTGTGGCGATTCAAAAGCCTGCGCAGTAATGATGAACAGTTAATCAGAAGACGAAAAACAGTCTCATTCTTTTCATAATTCTCTTTGTTCAATTGAATTCAACTCGGTTTCATTATCATATCTGTCTCTGTGTATACCTTGTCGATGTTCACTGCAGGAGCATACTTTTCGGTTTGCGTTTTCTCTTTGTCGAGAAGAAAGAAGACTCTCGGGTCGATTTTAGAAGTTTCATGCCATGATTTCACTGCCGTTTCCATTGTCTCGACGAGAAAAGAAAACATCTCTTCCCAACATGCTCCAGTTCCATACTTTTCAGACTGCGAGAGTTAATATGGAGAGGTTCAACAAGAGGATTGATTTTAAGGGGTAAGGACAAATAAAAATTGCATCCACTACTGTAAGAATGTATGCATCAAGAATGGTTCCACAAGGGTTTGATGTTAGTTTCCAGGTATCCACCGGGAGAATACAAAGACTCACCATTTCCGACTTCAAACCATCAAGATGCTTGGCCATGTCGATATTCGATCTCAAATTCTCAACTTCTAGAGCTCGTTGTTTATCCTTCTGCAACTGACCAAGCCTCTTGATCTTTCTAGAAACTTCTGCACTCTGTGGGTTACACTGCAGGGCCATCCGGAACGCCGCCAAGGCCTGTCCCCAAACATGACAACCAGATAGCACCGATTTCATGTTACGATTTCGGGGTTTAGGGAAATGAAGAAAGAACGAAACAATGAGAGGCTTACGTCTTCATATTTGTCCATGGCTTCAAGCACACAACCTCTTCTGAAATACCCCTAAAGACACACATCAGAAAGCCATGTTTCATATAAAGATCCTAATGATTTGGGAAAGAACAATGGGTTCGTTTTCTTTTTACCTTCTCCCATCGAGGGTTGAGTTTGATAGTCGTCTCGGCATCAGCTAGAGCTTTGCTAAGCTTAACTAACTGCAGAAAAGCTGCAGCTCGGTTACTGCATCACATTGTGAAAAAGTTATTACACTCAATTGACCTAACCTAGCAAAATCTTCTGCAAGCAACAACTAACAAGGGTAGCAGAATCCCAGCATTAGTTCTCAACATCATGACATATTTCCCTGAGTTACATACATCAGCAAAGTCCTCTACTACTGTAACGGTTTTACAGAGAGATTCTTAAAACGAAACGCTTAATTTGCTGAATTGAGCTGCCTTGTCTTTGCATTTGTTTAGTTGGAGTTACCAAATAAGCTTTTAGCACCCTTAACTCACATTTTACTTGGCTAAAGCTGGATGGATCACTCTAAATCCTGGCTTGTATATAAATTTTTTAGTGGTAGGAGTGTCTTTAGCTTGCTAGTTCAGAGGGAAATTTCACCAAAGACCAAGTATTTACCAAGGAAACTGTGGGGTGAAAGTAGATTGGACGCTGATTCCTCCTGCGGGACCAGTAGCGGTGAATCGGCGAGTGATGCTGGGTGCAGTCTCATTTCATGGTAATTCTCTTTTTTCAGTTTTGTGTTCCTACATGCTTACATGACTGGTTATTGCGAAACTAGAATATCGTGCCTTGAGATAATTTTTTAGGTCCTTCTGATTTTGGATTTTCTCCACATTACCCTCTTTCAAAGAGCGGGACCAACCGAATCTAGTTTCCGACAGGAAAACAAACCGATCGTTCAGAAGCTGAAAACTTGAAAAATGCATAGAAATTAGTGAAAGAAGGAGCTATCCACAATCGTATGCCAAGTGATGGGCAACCCATTGGTTCACAGATTGAATAGACAGGCGAGAAATGAATATGGTTTCCAGTAAGTGTATATGAGCTTGTTGTACACCGATTCGAGAGAAGTTCTGAGAAACACCTCAAGTCAGCATTTTGATGCAAACCCACCAAAACCCAGTCAGAAAAAAAAAGGAGGAACCTGTAAAGAGTAGGATTAGAAGGATCGAGTTTGATCGCCTGAGTGTAGAGAGCAGCGGCTTTGAGATAGTTCCCGGCTTTGAAGAGTTCATTGCCTTTGTCCTTTAGAGCCCTCTGCTCTTCTCCACCTGTAGGTCCCGTCTGCCCCGCCTTATCTGATTCCGCCACAGTTTCCGCCATTTCCGAGAGGACGATAGAGGAGAAGAATCGACGAGGGAATCGGTGATTTCGAGTTTCTTCTGCCTCTACTACTAGGGTTTGTGAAGGGAGAAAAGAGGAGACGAGTAATAAAGATGTGTTCTTCCGTCTTGAGTTTTCCTTGCAAAATGCCCAATTCTTCTTACAAAGGGAACAGCTCCTAGCTTTTATAAATTTTAGAATCTTCTTTTGATTTTCTTTCACATCGAAATTTGGTATCTTTAATTTTCACATTAACGTTGATAAATTACAAAACAATATAAATATATTTACAATTACGAAATTTAAGATTACAAAGCATCACATCTCCGAAACCAGCAGTTGGCTAAACCGATTTCAATTTTTAAATAGTAAAATTACACCCCGGAAAAAGAAAAAAAAAAAGAATGCCCAACAACACTTTGGGAGGAAATTACCAAAATATATTAAAATTTTAATTTTATACAAACAAAATATCACTCGTGATCACGAACCATAAAATTCGGTTAACAACACAGGCAATTAATATAAAAATATAATTAATGATAAGAGAGTACTGAATTCACTCTTCACGATCCTGTCGCCATTTGTGTCAAATCATTCACTGTCTCCTCCAAAAGCTCCTCAAGCAACTTCTCCTCAAACCCTTCCCCAACACCATCTACCTCCCTTCTCTTGTTCTCCGGCCACCCTCCCTCCTCCGCCGCTTCAGCCCGAGCCGCCCTATCCACCGCTAAACTGCTCAGGTCCCCGTCCCCATCCTCCTCATCCCCACAATTCACTTTCCTCCTCCCCGAAAACCATTCCTGCATCCAGATCCTCACACTGTCTCCCAATGCCGTTTCCTTTCCTCTACCGAACCCTGTTGTCGTTAGTTCCGAGAGCAAAAACGAGTTCACGAGGTCGAACACCAGTTTCCTGCTTGAGCTGAGTCGCTGCCGTTTCGCCTCGTTGACCGTCTCCGAGTCATCCGTCTTGGTGTACTTGTTTCTCAGTGATGGGTCTAACGGACTCTGCAATGAGTGCCATTTCGATAGATGATTTTCCGAGAGCGACTCATCGCCGTCGAGATTGGCGGTGGATAAGAGCGTATTGACTAGTAGGCGCCAGTCTTCTTCTACGTCTTCAGTGTCTTGTGATGAAACGAAGCGTTTAGACGAGTATCGGGTTGCCATTGTTGGTTCTGCCCGCGAGTCATCTCGTGAAAGGGTGCGAGAAAAAGACCCTATGGGAGGTGATTTGTTGATTATATTCGACTTCGAAGAAATCTCCGGCCCTGGTTGCCACGATCCTTGAATAGGTAAAGATTATGAATCCGATGAACTCGAGGCAAAAAAAGTTAAAGAGAGACACTAACCGGGCGAAGCGGGTTTGAACAAGATAGAGGATTCGGGCACGATTCTGTCAATGTCGTCGAAAGAAGTTCCTAGGACTGATATCGGACTTGGCTGGTCACCACGCTCACTTGCATTCCCATGCAAAGGTGGTGGCTTTGAAGTGGATACGTCTGCCTGTCGAAGGGAAAAAATGAAAAGGAACGTTGTTGAAAAAAACAATGATACAATGCAACAATGTTTTAAGAAGCAGCTGTATAAGGCCATGGAAAATCTACACTAACCTCCTGAGAATATATGCTTTGGCATTGTTCGAGGAAGCCATCATCGCCCGAAACAGATGCACGAGATTCGTCGTTAGCCCGAGAATATGGAGTCTCGGGATTTACTATTCGAGATTCATCGTTACAGTGAGACACGCTCGATTTCTCCTTGATGGATTTCTTGTTCCTGGAGAAAAAGAAATTCGAGACTTTCCCTTTCAGCGACCATTTTACGCTCTTCGACTTTGTCAGCTCCTCGGGAACTTTGGCCTTGCTGCCAACTTTAAGATCGAGACTCGACTTGTAGACTGTCAAAGATTCGGGAACTGATTTCGACCGTTCAAGGCCTTTAGGAGATCTGCTATCGCCTTCTACTCTAGCGAGATTACTTGCTAAGCACGATGTAGAAAATCTAGGACCTCGCTCACTACCATCAGTCCCTTCTTCAATTCTTCTCAAATCGTTCCTTAGATCCGAAAGAGCGAGCATCTCACCCAATGTACTAGAAGAGCTCTTCTCAATACCCTTTTGCTCCTGGAAATTCCCATTGGATGCCATCAACGCCCACCGTTCAGAAAGCCGCTTCTTGGCCTCTCTACAAACAGAGGAGTCCGGATAACACGAGGCTCTGCTGAAGGGGGAGGAAGAGTAAGGGCTATCATACCTATTGACATAATCCCATGAATGCCTAGAAACTGGTGACATGATCTCAGAGTCACTGAGATTCTCAACCAAGTAATCATTCTCGGATCTGTTAAAAGAGCTGTCGTCGCCGATATAGCCATTCGAGAAGACGGAGGATTGGACGGTTTCATCTCTATGTTCCATCAGATTTCTATGTATCTGCTTCGTCACTCTCCTTGCCACATTTCTCGCATCCCTCTCCTCAAATTCGTCCAGTTCGTCTCTATAGCCTTCACCATGTGCCCCCCCTCTTGGAGATGTCGGGCATGATGAAGCCAAAGCCCTTGCAAAATGGCCTTTACCCGGACTAGGTTTCAGAACGACTATCCGTGTTTTCCGTGCCGGGCATTCTTCAACCATCTGATTGAATAAAGGAAGGCCAAACTCAATGTTCTTGCTGCTCAATTTGGATGCATCGGCTGTTTTCTTAACTTGCCCATCTAACTTTTCAGTCACCTTCGAGGGCTTCAAAATAGTGATCCTCTTAGTCTCTGGAGTCGAGGGGACGGACTGAAAATCGTGAAGATGTTCAGAGAAGAAGTTATTTGACTCCTGCAGAAACTCAAGGAACAACTCTTTGTTGGAACTTAGAACTTCCATTGCATCTTGGAACTCTTTCGAGTGACGAAGTTTCTCATCCGTTACCAGACGTTTTGCTTCTATGAACTTTTCACGGATCACATCCATCTTCTTCTTGCTTAGATTTTCGCTATAACTTTCATTATCTGCCACACTCTTT